AAGCCATGCACATGCCGGCTTTATGGTGGCCTGTCTATCTGGTCCAGTGACATGTGTCTCAGTCGCCCATCTTTGATTGATCGATCGATTGATTGAGTCGCCTACCACTTGGGTATGATGCCTTCGTGCACACTACCCCCTGAACGTGACGTGTCTTCCGTTTTTTCGCTTGAGTACGTCTGTGTACTAAGCAGTAAACAAGACTGAGTCGTATATAACTCACAAGAGGGTCGGCGTCGATGAATCGTAAGCAACAGTGTAACCATCGTCGCTATTGACACGCACCTTATGTATGAAGACCCGTGTCGAAAGCACTAGGAAGTCGAATGGCAAGAGATAACACTGTCATAGATCTGTGACAGCGCCTCACTCTAGGACGTTGACAGTGAAAGTCTACACAAGTCGGTTCGCAAGGAGTTTCAGCCAGAACGATGAGACCACGATACGCCGATCAAGTATGCATCTGTTCTTCCACCAGTACATCCTTGAGAACAGCTTGACGCGCGCTGAAGCAACACATTTTTATGAGAAAATGGCCACGCCTCCTTCAGGGAAGAAGACGTCAGTCATATATTCCGGCATCCCTGTATCGTGAGTGACACCCTGTGACCCAAAATATGGACCAGCACACAGTGCGACGGAGAGTGCGCACATATAAACCCGCCTAAGATAAATCAGCGTCAACAGCGAGCGGAACTACTACTAGTATGATGCACTTACAAATTGATTGGCTTGCCGTCCAAGTTACCTTGCTGTTATTATGATTGCGATCGCGAAAGCAGCCACGATTGGATGTCCCTTGTGATTTGATTATTTGGTTGCCCATGCGAATGACAGACTTCTCAGATCTCAGGTGCGTTCCCGAAAATGCGGAAATACGAGGTGACCTGCCGACTGAGATCATGGCTGTCGGCAATCCGATAGGTCGGATCCACCAGTGATGCTGGCACCCACTCTATAGCTACATCGCAATTTCGACAGTATCGTAGGAAATGTTCGCCGCATACGTTGTACTTACCCCCCGACATTACAAACAGGAAAAAGTCGCAAGATTCGAAGCAACCTTGCGGAAGGGCATAACGTTGAGCCTGAACGAGTTACTCCAGTGTTACTCCAGGATGTTTGACGCGGGAGTACATATCAATCGGCTTCTAAATCCAACAGAATTTCCGTATTGATCGTGACCCGGAGCCCACGAGGCAGAACGATCGAATCCTGCCATCTCATAAGGCGTGTGCCAGGTGCGAATGTGACGAGCTTGAAGGGTTTGTTCGCCGACTCGCCGAGCGCCAGTTGATTGGTTACACTTACAACCCTTGATGGTGTCGGTTGGCTTGACCTACTGAAGAAAAAAATCGACGACCAACAGGTGAGCTGCGACTGTCTAATCGTGTACGTAGGGACAACCAGGAATTGTTTCAGTGATATCGGCGTTGATTGAGAGCCAAGGCGACTCTCCTTAGTGGATGGGAATTGCGGCCATGATGGATCGGATCAGATAGCCTGAGGTAAACGAACACAGCGTGCTGTCGCGGCAATTATGACAAGCGCTGATGAAGTTCACGCGCGTAAATTAAGACGCGTCGGTCTGTGCGTTGTGAAGACTCAAGGACTCAGGTTCACAGTTACTTGACTTTAGGCCTTGTCTGAATGACTTCTTTGTGGTGGACGTTTGAAGCACAAGGGCGGGGTGGCTGTGGCGGCGCACAAGGCGCATGAGGAATAATTGAGTTCACGTGACGAAACGCGTCCGCGTTTATTTGTTAGTGTTTTTGTGTGGATGGTTGAAAATGGGCAATGCCGGATTTGTTCAAGGTCGTTGACCTCCACCTCTTCAGCTTGAGCCTTCATCATCCTTCGCTTTTGCTCATCTCTCCATTTCTTTTATATATAATACCTTAGATACCAATCCTGACAGGCCAGCTTGTTCATGTCTTCAAACATACCTGCAAGTTTCTTATTATATGTTCGTGGTTTTGTGCGATGGCATGGCTAATCTGTGGTATTTACCACTAGACACGGCGTGTAACGCGGACAACCCGCGCTACTGTTCAGAAAGATAACGAAAACGCAACAGCTCGCCCCTCGCGCCTTGTATCTCGCACAAAACCGCCTTCATCTAACGGTGCTACTGTGGCCACAGGTCCCTCGGGTGTTCTCAGCCGGGCTACAGCCGCTACCGCTGCCTCGAGGGCAAAAGTTGGAAGCCAGGATGAGAACAAGGTAGACCCCGCGCTTCAAGGCAAGCGCAAACGCGAGGCACTCGGTGAGGTCACGAAGAACGTGAACAAGAATAAGACCGCCTCATTGGCATCGAAGGAAGCCAAGGGGAAATCCAAAGAGGTCGCTCCTCCTGTCAAGGAGAAATTTGACGGTGTCGTTATTAAGTCGAAACCTCCCCCTTCTGCTGGGACTCGTCCCCCTTTGCGCACTGTCGCTGGTTCTGCCACACGTCGTACCACCAAAGGCACAGCCGCATCCTCGCAGATCCGCCCACTTGACGAAGTCAAAGAGGATCTTGTGGAGTCTCACACGCACGAGGAGGACGCTATGGCCATCGATGACCATGTCGCTGCAGGCCCAACTACCGCGGCCAACCGTCGCACTTCACATCGTCGCTCCGCAGTCGTCACCGCTCAGGTCATCACGCAAGAAGTTCACCGTGCCGATATCGCAAAACGCACCACCTCGTATATCAACGTCAAGCACGAAACTCGAGAAGAAGGTGAAGATAACCGCGTGTTCAAAAAGCGGAGAACGTCGTCCGATATCCCTGACGAGGCGAAACTGTTCGAGGAAGAGCACGAGGCTGAGGTGGCTGCCGCCCTCGAGGCAGATGTTGATAGCGAGCCGGAGGCCGATCCTAATGGCGATGAGTGGGATGACCTCGATGCCGAGGACGGCGATGATCCATTGATGGTCAGCGAATACGTTCATGAGATCTTCAATTACATGAAGGAAATCGAAGTAAGCGCTCAAGTTTGAAAACTTATTGTCTTCGTCTGACATATCCACAGCTTACTACGCTTCCTAATCCCGACTACATGTCAAGTCAGAAGGAGCTCGCGTGGTCGATGCGCGGCATCTTACTTGACTGGCTGGTCCAGGTTCACGCCCGATTCCGCCTGCTCCCCGAGACGTTGTTCCTTTGCATCAACATTATTGATCGCTTCCTCTCGGCTCGTGTCGTCTCATTAGCGAAGCTTCAATTGGTCGGCATCACCTGCCTCTTTATCGCGTCCAAGGTCGAGGAAATCGTCGCTCCCTCGGTCTCTCACTTCCTCCACTGCGCTGACTCTTCGTACACCGAGTCTGAAATCCTTCTCGCGGAGCGCTACGTCCTTAAGACCATCGACTGGAACTTGGGACACCCTAACCCAATGCATTACCTGCGCCGCATCAGTAAAGCCGACGATTACGACGTCAAAGCGCGCACGATCGGCAAGTATCTTCTCGAAGTCGGCGCACTGGAATGGCGGTTGCTCGCCACACCTCCGTCGTTGGTCGCCGCCGCTTCGATTTGGCTCGCAAGGTTGATCTTGGGCAACGACAAATGGGTAAGTACCGGATAGACGTCGCCTTCGCCTGTGTCCTGACTGTCGTTGTCCAGAGTGCAAACCTCGCCCACTACTCGTCGTATGCTGAGAGCTCGCTCATCCCGACGGCGAACCTCATGTTGAACTACATCCTTAAGCCGATACGACATGAGTCGTTCTACAAGAAGTACGCCGGTAAGCGCTTCCTGAAGGTGAGTATAGTGTTCGGTCTGGTGTTCGTAGTGTCTAATGTTGCACGTAGGTGAGCATCTGGGTCAGGGAATGGGCATTGGAGAGGTGGACAGAGGGCACGCAGGTGTCCCTCGTCGATGATCTGCCCAAGCTGAAGGCTGTCAACCGCGCCGAGCGCGCACGACTCGAGGCCGCCGCGGAGAACGGAGAACTGGACGGCGAAGAGGGCGACTCATAGTGGCCGATAGCGCTCGTTCGCCTGGTCCCCGGTTTCCTCTTTGCTCATCCCAATCATTCATGGCTCCTCGTCACGGCAATCATAACAAAATAAATCATGCATAACCCCGGATACCTACACTTAACCACATCTCCTCGTGCGCATCCTATCTCATCCCGCCAAATCCATCCACGCATCATCTGTTTATTCTGTGCAACCACAACCTCAATTTTCCTCATCAACGTTTTCTGTCATATTTTCCTACTTGTTCTGTCTTATTGTTGATCTTATGATTATCAAATGGCTGTTCATCGTCTTCTCCTGGACCACGTCTATGCCACCCATCCCCATGCATCCTCGTCCGTACTGGTGTTGTCGCCCTCGTCGTTTTGTCTGTCGCTGGCCTTTCCTCGTTCACCGTCGCTGCACCGACCATTGTGACCCCGCAGTGCATTGCTATCATCGTGCTCACTCTGCTATGCCGCTCTCGATCGTAGCGCGCAATGATTGTCGTTGTCCCTCGTTCGTTGATCCACCGGTCTTCGGCTCGCTCTGTCCTCCTCGACGTGCCCCTCGCTCGCTGTTCATATGATACCTACTGGACGCATCCTCACTCAGCGATACCTTCGTCACCGTCTTCGCCCTATGTGCATACCCTCTCTCCGCCCTCTCTTATGGTCTCCTTCGTTCGGTGTTTCTTGCATATCCTTTCCCCCCTCTCCCCTCCCCTCCCCATCACCTTTGATCCATCACGCTTGCTAGCCATTGCCGTGTGTTTTGTCCTAGGATCATCCCACGGGGCTCATCACAGTCTTCTTTAGTTTTTTTTGGCACAAGCGTTTGATGAGGTGTATCTTTAGAAAATTAAATTACCATTAACTGAAATTGCGTGAAAGAGTGAGAAGTACTGTGAACATCAGTGGAGGAGTTGCGTTGTTGTCTCGATCATGACGTCTTCGTAAAAGACAGCCCCGCTGTGGGGATGTCAGGGGTAGTGTGTTGGCCGACGCACCCTTCGTCTGCTGTTGGCGTACACGCCAAAAAAGCGACAAAATCTCTCTGACGGAGAATCGAACTCCGCTCTCCCGCGTACTGGGACAATGAGCAGCTCCATTGACAGGCGGGTGTACTAACCGATATACTATCAGGGAGTTGTTGAAGCGCTCGTCAGAGAAGAGATTGATCCGCCATCATATCAATTTACTCTTTAGGCCAACAGGGGCTAATTCCCTTCTACGTCTTGCACGTGACGTCCGAATACTCTTTCACCGATCGTTTGCGCGGTTGCAGTCACTGTCAGCCCCAACGCCGAAAGTAACTCGCTGCAGCTTGTTCGATGAGCCTGAGCGTGTCGCGCAATGCAGTAAGCACGTTCAGTACCAGAATACCTTGCCGAGGACTCTCTTCCGCACCAACCTCCGCGAAACTCGACTCGAAAGCCTTCTCGAAGACCCTCCTTCTCCCCAAGACTTCATTTCCCCTCTGGAGTGACCCCGCAAAGACGGAAGCGCCGTTCAGGAGGAAGACATGCGATGAGCTCTATCGCTGGCAGGTGTGTGACACGCGAACCATCTGTTGAACTTGTTCTGACTTTGTAGGACGCGACCAGGCGCAAAATGCGCAAGGGCCGCTCTTCGTGATGCATGATGGGCCTCCGTATGCAAATGGTCATCTTCACATTGGTATGTCTGGTGCGCTTGCTCTAGACCTTGTGTGTGCTTACGAAATCTCCCTTTGGTCCAGGACACGCTTTGAACAAAATACTAAAAGATATCATAAATCGGTTTCACGTCTCCATCGGGAATCGCGTACAGTCAGTCCTTGGATAGCGCGTACAGTATAAACTCTCTAGGAACTAACCGGAAGCAATGTGCCCTAGTTATATTCCCGGCTGGGATTGCCACGGGTTACCCATAGAGAACAAGGCCCTCCAGGATCTGAAAGTGAGCATTCTGCGCGAATTTCACGTGCAGTCAGGGGTCGTACTTATACTATACGTTCTTGTGACCCTTCAGAAAGACGCACATACTCTCCCAGCATCTACTATTCGCCATGCTGCCAAGGTAACTGCTGAACGCGAGATGAAAACTCAGAAGGAAGAGTTCGAGCAGTTCGGCATCATGGCGGATTGGAGCAAGGTGTCTACTTATCGGACGCTGGGTGAGGTTTTGACACTCATTGGATGAAAGTCTCATATATTGTGCTCATAGAATTCTCTAATAGACCATGACTATGAGATTCGGCAACTGCATATTTTTCAGCAAATGGTAGCTAAAGGTTGGTCCCAGCACTACACAACGATTCATGATTGCATGTTGGTGATGTTCCGCTCTTAAACAGGTCTTATATATAGGGATTACCGCCCAGTGTACTTCTCCCCTTCGTCGCGCTCCGCGTTGGCAGAAGCCGAACTTGTGTACAAGGACGACCATGTCTCTCATTCGGTATATGTGGCATTCACTCTTAATGGAACAGGCTCCGCGGAAGCGTCGATTCCTGGGGACGCACAGGAGCGCATTGGGGCAAGCAGGATATTCCATGAAATGGGCACAGGGGAAGTGCGCTTGTTGGTCTGGACAACTACGCCGTGGACCCTAACCGCCAACATGGTACGCAGTGCAGCTGACCACGATTTGCCTTTCCGTAACTTTCTTCTATTTAACCTAACTCTTGTCCAGGGTATCGCAGTACACCCGGACTTAACTTATTCCCTCGTTAAGAGTCCGCGACAACCCGGTCTCTTTGTCGTCGCAAAGGACAGGCTGTCAGCACTCGAGCGCATCCTAGGCCCACTCAGTGAGGTTGAGGTGCTTACAGAAGTCCAGGGCGCAGACCTTGTCGGTCTCGGTTACCGCGGCATCTTCTCCACTCTTCCTAACGATGGCGCTTCGTCAGTTTCTGAGCCTTCTTCTCTGCACTCCGACCTGCGTATCATCCCCGCGTCGCATGTCACTTCCGATTCTGGCACTGGTCTCGTACATTGTGCACCCGCGCATGGCGCAGAAGACTACCTCGCATTCCGCACACAGGGCCTCTTAAGTTCAGGGATGGTGTGTCATGTCGATGGGGAGGGTAAATACTCGCAACGCGTGATGGACGTGGTCCCTGCTTCGGCAGGAGGCGAAGAGCTGGTCGGCCTGGAAGTGCTCAAAGCTGGAAAAGTGGTGGTTAAGCTGCTGGAAGGCACCGTGGCGCTGTTGGCTGTTGAGAGGGTAAAGCATCGGTATCCGTACGATTGGAAAACAAATGAGCCGGTCATCGTAACGTGTGTTTGCTTGCAGGCTGTTTGCTGACTTTCTTCGGCTCACATGGGGGTTTGCAGGGCGACCTCTCAGTGGTTTGCGAACTTGGATAACATCAAAGAGGATGCATTGGCTGCACTTGAGGAGGTCACGTTCTTCCCACCTGCTTGTACGTTTTACAAAACTTCATACGCTCTTCTCACTGACCGTCGCATTTTTCCAGCCCGCAACCGTCTCACATCATTCGTCCGCTCCCGTTCTGAATGGTGCATCTCCCGTCAACGCGTCTGGGGTGTTCCCATTCCGTCCCTGCACTACCTTCCCAGCGGCACCGCGATCCTCACATCCTCTTCGCTCTCCCACATTCTCAGCGTGCTCGAGAAGAAAGGCGTCCAGCACTGGTGGGATGGGCCCGTTTCGGACTTCTTAACTCCTGAGCTCATCGCCCAGTACGGTGAAGGCGAGAGCGACTGGAAGAAAGGCACGGACACCATGGATGTTTGGTTCGACAGTGGGACGAGTTGGTCCATGCTTGGCCAAGTCGAGGGAAGGAAACATCGTGCAGATATCTGTCTAGAGGGGTCGGACCAGCACCGAGGATGGTTCCAAAGTCAGCTACTCACTGCAGTTGGCGCCGCCGCTGAAGAGACGAAGAGACCAGAAAGCCCTTACGGGACACTGATCACGCATGGGATGGTGCTCGACGAGTCTGGGAAGAAGATGAGCAAGTCCCTCGGCAATGTAGTTAGTCCGTTGACGGTGATACATGGCGGATCGGTATGTCGTCGACTGTCCTAATTTTCACTATCGACTGACGAGGTGTGCTAGGATAAGAAGAAGGAGCCAGCATATAGAACTGACGTTCTTCGACTTTGGGCAGCAACTGTCGAATACTGGCGCGACATGTCCATTGGACCCACGGTCCTTGCGCAGACCGCAGAGTCAATGAGGAAGATCCGTAATTCTGCCAGGTTTATGCTCGGGAACATTGGCTCCACAAAGTTAAAGGATGAACATTCCCTGTTAAATGTGGAGAAGAAGGATCTCGGCTTAGTATGTTTTCCCCCTTCCCTGAAGTTTCGTTGATCCTGAACAGCTGATGTGGTGATAGGCCGAGCGCTACGTCATGAACGAGCTGTACAAACTCGAGAAGACCGCTTTGGAAGGCTATTCGACGTACAACTTCCCTCGAGGTGCGGTCATGAAAAACGTTTTCTTCGGCATCTCGCTCACCATATCCTATAGTCATGACCGCTCTGACAAACTTTGCAAACATCACGCTGTCCTCGCTCTACTTCGACATTACCAAGGACGTCTTGTATGCTAACGATGTCCACAGCATTGAAAGAAAAGTGGTCGT